TCCTTCTTCTTCTTGGAAGCAACTGCTGACTGACCCAAAGTTTAAAGTCGGCTCTGTCGCTGATAAACAGATTTTTAAAAAAGTTATAAATAAACAGCCTGGTTCGCATATCTGTTTTCAATGCTATCACCGTCTCGAATATATGTCATTGCGAAATCCCCTTTATGCGATAAGCCTACCATTTCAATCGTATTGCAGGTGCATTAACTTTCACGAGCGATAAGTATGAAACTATTAATGGTAGTAGCACAAATACCCGACTTCTAACGATAACGGTTATTGTACTGCAAATAGGGCAAAAACTCAGAAGAATAGGCAAATTAGTCTTTTATTTACATAATAACCCTAGGTCAATAATAACATACAGAAAAACCTGATCATTAAAATGTGCAGCTATATACGTGAACAGATTTTCGCAACGCTTATTCTGGTGTAATATGGACAACGTCCATTTCGTATCGCTCTATCGAATACATTCATAATCACATTTTGGCCGCTGGTTAACAAGAGTACAGAAATTTACGTTATTTCTGGACATAAAATGACTAACCGTGATGAAACCAGTTTGTGAATGTCACGTGTCATCTGAATGTCATTGACATTTGGATGAATAACGACTGAGTCATGTATTCTTCGAATCCCGCTAAACATTTTGGTCACGCATTCTTCAACTACGCTTACAGTCGATTTTCGGACATGCGAGATGGGTGTATTCAAAATCGTGGTGGACTTTGTAACGCAAAAAAAACAGTAGCTCACATAAAAATAAAAACTTTCCATCAATCATCGAAAGTTATTTTGTACTGTGGTATTTCAAAAGGCTCTCTTGTAAGTGGACGATGTCGCAGTGTAAAATGATCACGGAATTAGCTCGTGCGAGCAGCCACTATAACTCTGTGGCAAGCGTAGTCCTGTTTTGACTACGGCAGAAAAATTTTATTTTGCGATATCAAGTGACTGAACTTTACCTCTGAATAACCCCAATTGTCAATGACATGTAGAAGAAGAGCTAAGTTGCCACATTGTTCGAACACTGTTCAGAAAGGATTTGGGCTAGACACTTTTTGTTAAACTGGTGTAATCTTTCGTTTATGCTAGAAGAAGTGTTTCTTCGTCCGGTATTCAAAACTTCGCTGGACCGTTTTATGTGAATACCTCGGGGCCGTTATCTCCAACCAATGGCAATTGAGATCAAGACCCAAACATGACGATGGCGCGATCATCTTTCAACTTCAAAAGCTTCTGGAAAATCTGGATTTGAAAAGGAATTATAGCCATAACCAACATCCAACTTTACCGCGCTGCAGTCAGGTAGATTTTATTATACGGACTAGAAACAGCGAATGGTGCACGAAACAGTATACAAAAGTTGACTGTACAACGTCCATTAACGCCGATTACGGCACCTGTTGAAGATCAAACAGTAAGATCGTATCAAGAACGATCACGCATTAGTTGACCTTGAAAAAAACGGCGGTGCTCAGAGAGAGAAAAGGTTCAAACAGTTGATAAGTTGACCACCTACGAGGAAGC